TTTTATTCTTTTCAAGATTTTTCGTTCTTATCCCAAGAACACTACATTCTTATCTGCTAGAAATAGCTTCTTACTTCATCTCACACCCAGAATTATATTTCTTCTGTCAAGACCAAAATTCTTGTGATACCTAGAAATAGATTAAGATTTATGTTCTTGCATTGCACTAAAAGAAGATTTTTTTCTTGTGCAAAGAACTTTTTACTGTCAGCAAAAACCTTATTCTTTGAACAAGAATCCCCGTTTCCAGAAAATTCAATAAACTCACGCCACGTTGTTCTTATTCTCAGAAATTTTTTTCTTATATTATACAGCTAATAAACCCATACTTAAGAATATTCTTCTCATGATAAGAATTACGGGTTCTTACACGAAGAATCTCTATCTTGTTCGCAGGAAAATATTTCTTGAACGAAGAGCTAACTGTTACACAAGAAAATATTTCTTGAACTAAGAGCTATTTGTTCTTATAGCAAGAAAACCATTCTGCCCACAAGAAAATATTTCTTGAACTAAGAGCTAACTGTTCTTGTAGTAAGAAAACCATTCTGTAGACAAGAAAATATTTCTTGAACTAAGAGTTAACTGTTCTTGTAATAAGAAAAATATTCTGTATATTATAACAAAAGATTTCTTGAACTAAGATCTAACTGCTCTTTTAATAAGAAATCTATTCTGTAGACAAGAAAATATTTCTTGAACTAAGAGCTAATTATTCTTGTAGCAAGAAAATCATTCTGTATACAAGAAAACATTTCTTGAAGAGCTGTTCTTATAGTAAGAAAACCATTCTGCACATGAGAAAAAAATTCTTGAACTAAGGCCACACCAATTTAATTGTTGGTTCTCGGATTTTTTCAGAAAAAATATGAAGCAACAGGGCGAAAAAAATAAAAATAAAACAGGTCTAGGCATCCTATCATAGGCTTAAATGCTACAAAATGAGCCATGAAGTCAACACAAAAGGATGGGTTAAAATTTAAACATTGAATTTTGAACTTTTAATCAAACCACTGCAATGATAGATGGGAAAACTGTAACAACTAGGAAGAAAAGGACTTTCCTCAACTGTTGGGGGGCAAATCATGAGCATTTTTCAGTTGATTCAGGACCAGAATCAATTTTTTTTTTTTGCAAATCAGAAAAAAACGAAGAGGCGAATCCGAGAACCAACAAATTAAATTGGTGTGGCCTAAGAGCTAATTATTCTTGTAGCAAGAAAATCATTCTGTATACAAGAAAACATTTCTTGAGCTAAGAGCTAGCTAACAGTTCTTATAATGAGAAAAACATTCTGCACATAAGAAAATATTTCTTGAACTTAGAGCTCAATATTCTTGTATCAATAAAACTATTTTGTCTACAAAAGAAGAAATAATGTACAAAAGTTACAGAGAATGATATTGCAACAATTAAAATCCTATAACAATTATTTGACAGGCCTCTCTTGACACTGACAGTATAGGAATATTCATTACCACATTCATTATGTACATGTATCTAACATTCTTTGAATGAAAACAAGTAAACTTAAAACTATCATACGATGGAACCAACAAGCCATTATCATGGTTAAAGAATACAGATCATATCAAATTCCAAAACATTCAGCAAACCCTGCAGCTTTGGCATTATAGCATTGGAACAGTCACAGTCTTTGGAAACCTGAAAAAACAGGAAAGACCTTTCTTAGTTTGCATTGCTTGCAGGGGCTGAAAACAACAAAGTCAAAAGAGGATGCTAAAAATAGGATTGAACTAGAATTCCGATATCTCATACCTCCATGAAATATGATCTTGATATGTAAATCTAAATT